TGAACAATTGGGTTGTCCACTAAGCTCAGTGCAGCCCACTGACTACCTAATGGTTGATTATTCATTGCCTTGATTTTTAAAAAAAATTCCTATCACATAAAAAAAAAATCCCTGAAGTTTATTTAGTACTTATAAGACAGCCTTCTAATGCTGGTGGCCTTCATTTGCTTTCTTGCATCACAATATAAGCAGACCTTTCGATGTAGTTCTGCCTATAGAACAAATTAAAACTTGAGCTATAAAAATATATGTACAAATTACCCAGAGAAAAACAGAAAGTTCTTTGCTATAAAGAGACATTAGTCTCTTAGTGCCATTTGTTCTAGTTGGAGCCCAGTTAAAACAGAAATGTTATCTTGATTTTCCATTTACCATTTTTTTTACCTGATCCTGTATTCTATCAATAAGGTGTTTATTCTGCTAGTTCTTTTACTATTTTTTAATGACTGGTAGTAATAATTTTAGGATGTAGTACATATTCATTTGTATATAAATTATATACATACATTTAAACAAACAAGTTAAAATTGCAAAAAAGTTAAATGGAACATTAGTGGACTCAGTTGGACAAAATATATTCACTAGGTCTTCATTTTTCTAAAGAATGGCAATTTTTTTAAATATGAGGTGAGATGTATATATAAAGACAGTATTCTCCAATTTAGTAAACTATATGCTATTAGGCAAAATTCCTCATAACTGAATCAAGCCAAAAAGCATGATTAGTTCAGCCAGCATTTTGCAAGAAGTATTTTACATCAATACTGTGGCTAACTACATTTTAATCCCCAAATATTTTGATCTTTGAAAATGGTATGAAATCCTTACCTCACAAGCACACTGGCCCACTACAGCCCATTGGATTAATGGTTTTTAATAGAAGTAAACATGCAGTTTTCTGTTGCTAACAAAACAATCAGGCCATCTTAATTCTGTGTATACAATCAGGCCATAACAGGAAAGAAAATGTCATCAGATTCTGTTTGCTTGATGTAGAATTCAATGTAGTGAAGGAAGAAAATATTGAACAAAGAAAGCTCTTAATTTTGAGGATGAAGAATAAAGGTGTTTTTAAATTGGGCTGATACTATAGAACTTTCAAATATCAATCTCTCAGTCTTCTCTTGCGCACATCTTTAAATCATGCTTTTCTACCAGGTTATTTGATGTTCAGCATCAGATATACAGTCTTTCATCACTGCATTCCTATATTATTCATCTTAATGTGAAACAGATGTTTTTCCTGATAAAAAGGCCTAGAAAAGAAGATAGAAAAAGTCAAAAGAAAGGTAGGTGGGAAAGAGGAGAAAATAGCTGCCAAGCAATTATTTTGCTACCATAGTTAGAGATTTCCCAAAACCTGAAAAACGGTATCAGATTTTTAAATGCCCCCTTGAAAGAGATAGAAAACCTTGCTTCTGATCTAATAGCCTATAGCAGCAGTCGGTTTCACATTTTTTTACCGCTGGTTCGTCGCGCTCACTTTCCGCACGTGGACCCGGCCTTCCATCCATGCATTTTGTTTGTGCACATGCCTTCTGCACATGCGCTCAGCCTCAGAACTGTTCCTAAATAGGACAACATGGAGCCTGGGCAGGTAGGCGGGCCCACCCATGATTTCCGCTACCAGTTCGCACGGACCAGTATGAACCAGCTGAATACCACCTCAGGTCTATAGATAATAGAGAATCAGAGTGTTCACTACAGTCCACAGTTAAATCTTATGTAGATAGCTATAACATGCTGATACCATATACAGATAGTTCTTAACTTACAACCATTTAGTAACTGTTCAAATTTTCAACAGCATTGAAAAAAACTACTTAGGACCGTTTTTCATACATATGACAACTGCAGCATAAGGGCTGTGGTAGCACAGTGGTTAGAATGCAGTACTGCAGGCTACTTCTGCTGACTGCCAGCAGCTCAACAGTTCAAATCTCACCTGCTCAAGGTTGATTCAGCGTCTATCCTTCCGAGGTTGGTAAAATGAGAACCCAGATTGTTGGGGGCAATATGCTGACTAAACGGTTGCTTAGAGAGGGTGGTGTAAAGCTCTGTGAAGTGATATCACTCTGTGAAGTGATATATAAATCTAAGCGCTATTGCTATTCCCTAGTCATATGATCAAAATTCAGATGCTTGGCATCTAACTCCTATTGCAGTGTCTAGGGATCTTGGGATCACCTTTTGTGACCTTCTGACAAGCAAAGTCAAATAAAAAGCCAGATTTACTTAACAGCCATGTTACTAACCTAACAACTGCAGTGATTCATTTAACAAATGAGGGGAGAAAGGTCACAAAATGGAGCAAAATTCACAGAACAACTGTTTCTCTTAGCAACAGAAATTTTGGACTCAGTTGTGATTGTAAGTGAGGGACTATCTGTAGTAAATATTTGTAATGATAGACTAAATAGATTAAAGAGGATTTTTTAAAAAAAGCTGTACCCCAGTTCTAGTCAACTTCCCAAGTGAAATTTGTTTTGCTTTTTTGGCTTTTTAAGTGTTAAGAGCTTTTACATCATTCAAGATGTTATTCAATCTTGTTGACTTAGATGTTGCTTTCCTCTTTTTATTTTGATATTTTATTTTCTTTCTCCTCAGTTGAGGAGTACAGATGGATTCAGCATGGACTATCCAAGGTGGCATTTTGTTGTGTTGTCCTTCTGTTGAAGGACAGCATTGAGAATCAGCTGCTCCAGTAAAGCAAATGCATCATTTAATTACTGAGTATCAATGCAATTAAATCATTGGACAATTGGACTCGGTTTCAAGAGCTGTTTTCCTCTTCCCTTCACAGAAACTGGGTTTTAATTTGTAGAACTCTTATTATGGGCTATTTGCCTGACTGTAAGTACTATAAAGTACTTACTGGTTATTTAAGAGAAAGGAGAAAAAGAAAATAGGAGTTGTTTAAAAAAAAAACCCACCCACATGAAAATCCCATCTACAGACATTTTAACTCACTTCAAAGAAACTCAGTATTTCAAACTTGAAGGAGTTGGGGTTTTTTTATTGTTTGTTTGACATGTCTTTTCATTCTTTAAGTCCAATTGGTTTCTAACAGCCCTTCAGGTTGAAATTTCATATTTAACTAGACATGATGGAAATCCCAAATCAATACCACAGTATCTGGGAGACATATCACTTCAAGTTGATCTGGACAGTATCCCTAACTTTCTACCATAGGCTATTTTTCTTTCAGTATAGCAGTTTTCTTTTCCTCTATGCTCAAAATATTTTGAATAAAAAGCATCCTGATTTTGATTACATACCAACAGAGGTGAGAACCCCTTTTCTATCAGTGCTCAAAATAACCTGCCACCCTTATGCCTTGTGAAAAGAATGTGTGAATGCTGTGTTTTTCCATCATATGTGGGGGGGGATGGACGAGAGAAGGATGTGATTTTGATTATAGGTAATTCTTGTTTAGTAATCCCCGCTTGGATGAACAACTGGGTCATTAAGTGAAGCAGTCACTAAGTGAAACCACAACTTGCTTCTTATCATACTTTTCTTTGTTTTACAGACCTGTGAAGGTCATAAATGCAAGGATTGATCGTAATGTTATTTTTTCACCACCATCCTAATTCCAGACATATATTTAAACTGTTCAGCATTTCCAAAACTTTAGACAAGCAGAGCTTGTCTAAAATCAGAACTGGGAACAATGCTTCTCTCTCTGATCTCAAAAGCTTTGCTCTGTAACTTTTGTGCCTCAAGATTCTTAGTTTCCTAGTGATTGTATATTATCTAGGTAAATCTAAATAGCAGCCTGTCTATCTTCAACAGGACTTCCTTCATATTTTCCCTAAGAGATTATGTTGATTTAACCCATCCATCCACCCACTCTCTTTGCTTTTGGATGTATGACATGCTTCCAGGAAAAAGGATGCTTGACGGACACTAGAGACATGCAATCTGCATCCGGCATGCCTCAAAATAATTAAAAAGGTTGACGTGTGGTGGATATTTAAGACAAGCAGTTTCAAAGCACCCTTCTAATGTCTTGGTACTGTTTGGAGAATAATCTCCTAGAGAATTTCACCATGAACAAAATATAAGCCTGTAGATGCCATATTTGTAAGATAAGAAAATATTTTATTTTACATTATCATTCTACTTCAGTTATTGGTAGGTATGTATTCCCAGTGTAGTCTTATGCCATTTTAACCAGTTTGATAAAAGGATTTGGGTTTGCAGTAATGGAAAAGATTGGATTTTTTTGGAAGAGGGTATTTTATTTTGATTTTGGTTTTTTTCTTCCTAAGTGATTATTTAATATGGAATCCATGCAGATTGTAAATTAGCGAAATATATATGTTTTGAAATCTTCCAATTGCAATAACATGCTGAAATATGCAATAGATAAAGATAGATAGATAGATAGATAGATAGATAGATAGATAGATAGATAATATATAAATAAATGATATATAGGTAGATATACAGATATGTATATAGATATAGACAGAGATATATTGATAGATATAGGTATAGATACTGGTATATATAGATAGATATAGATATATAGATATAAGTGAATAAAAATTGTATGCATGTAAGCAAATTAAATTCTCATGAATACAAAATTGGAAATTTCTGATTTTATCATAGGAAAATATCTTATCAGCCTGCTGAAATGTTGCTCAAATGGACGACTGGATGTAGGACATTTTTGGCTGTTCAGACCATATACACATTGTTTACCATTCTTCCCATTCAAAGTTAACAATTGCATGCATTTATATATTGAGGAAATATATTTTTATTGTTGGAAGATATAGACTACATTATGCCACAGTAATATTACCAGAACAAGATCCTGAAGCAGATATCATAGTTGAATCAACAGGAGGACCACTAGCAATAACAGGATTATCTTATCACATCCTATAGAAGCAAAGTGTTACTTGTTCAGCATATGAGACAATAGAATATAGATTACATGTAATTTGTTCACTTCTCCCCCTACCTCTCCTTTTTCCTTCCCACAGGTAGACGTAGGCGTTCTCCGCTTTGTAACTGCCATTGGGACTCAAGGGGCCATCTCCAAAGAAACTAAAAAAATGTATTTTCTGAAAACATACCGAGTGGATATCAGCTCCAATGGAGAAGATTGGATATCCATTAAAGATGGAAACAATAAACCTTTGGTAATATTTTTCATCTGTATGATGTTCTTGACTATTTACAGACTTATAAAATTCTTTATTTAGTTGCAGTTATCAGTAAAAGGCGCCCTGCAGATTTTACTCCGCTGGTCGCTGCCGACTGCATGGAGTAGTGCTCATCATCATTTCAAGGCCATTAAGCTAGCTCTGTCCAAAAATACTTCCGTGGTCATGTGGCCAGCATGACGTCATGGACTCCTGTTACTTTCCCACCATATATTTACTTACTTGCATTTGTATGGGTTTGAACTGCTAAGTGGTCAGGAGCTGGGGCGAGAACAGGAGGTCATCCCATCATGTGGCACTCAGCCACCACACTGCCCCTGAGCCACCACACTGCCCACAGTTACTAGTGTTTAAAAGAAAATACTAGGTATTTGAGGATCAATTATACTTAACCCAATGGTGGGTTATCCCCGGTTCGCACCGGTTCTATAGAACCGGTAGTAAAACCGACGGGAAGCTCTACCCACTGACCCCGACGTCACCAAAACACTTCTGCGCATGTGCAGAAGCTTCTGCACATGCACAGAAGAGCGCACGGCCCCGCTGCGAACCTGTAGTAAAGGTAAGTAGAACCGACCCCTGATTTATCCCTATTGGTCATTTTACTAATCAGTCAAAAGCAATGTGACAATAAAATAATCTCAAGAGACAAATTCTAATGCACTGAAATAAGTCTTATAGGTTTTTTTCCCCAATCATTTATGCTTTTTTCTTGTTATTGCTGTATCACTCATTCCTAACTTATAGGCACAAGAATAACGGAATAATTCTATAATAAAATGCTTCATTGCTGCAGCATGGAAAACAAGATTAAATCACCAAAATGAAACACTTTTTAACCCATTAATTGTAATTGTATTTGAATGCTTCCCCAAGCTAAACATCCTTGAACTTGTCTGGATTATCTCTAATTTTATTAAATTTTAGGGTGTTTTTTTGAGATTTTGTTTTTCACTTCTGTTAGACTGCAGATGGTAAAAAAAAATCCATGCAAGGTAATAATATATATCATACCCAGTAAATGTCTGAAGCATGAATAAAAAAGTCATGTGTTTCCCAGTTAATTATGAGTCCTTAATATGAAAATATTGAAGAAGTCTACAGAATGGTACCAACTCAAAGTTCTCATTTTCACCAATTTAGCATCATGTAATTATATATGAAGTTGTGCGCTGGTGCTTGCTTGTCTTCTATTTTATCAACAAGTAGCAATCTTTTAAAAATTGGAGAAAAGGAGATACCGCATTGAAATGTTACATCAGATGGATATATTGTCCTCCGTTTGATATAGGTTCCATAATATTTAGCAAAATTGGTCGGTCAAAGCTTCGTATATTTTCCCAGATATGCCTTATTTATTTTGGAAATACCTTAAAAGTCTTACACAAACCAATCTTTGTACTTCTGCTACACTTCCTTTATCATGGATAACAGATAACCACTTGGCTGTTTCATCCTGTTTGTCTGAAAGACAGCCAAACTTTACCACAGGCCTTGGCCTAACTTTCCTGTGCAATTAATATTAATAAGTTAAACAGATGGTTGGTACTAAATACAGTTAATGTTTGCAAGAGATTCCTGCTGATCTTCCATTACTACTTCCTTCCCATTAAAAAAAAAAAAAGACAGAAAGAGCAATTTTTAGCAAGACTTATTACGAGGGAAAGGAAGACAATAATGTTTTAATTGTCCTAAAATGGATACATAGACATTTCTAGCTGTCCAGTCCTAAGAAAGTAGAAACAATTGAACAATTAAAACTCATTTATAATGGATAAATAGCAGCTAAAATCAATATTACAATTGATTGCATTTTAGCTACTTACACGCACAGGTTTAAATGACATGGTCAACTTCCTTTACTATATTCTGCTCTAAGAAAATACAAAGCAGGAAAGTTGGGGAAAGATTTAAGAAATTACTACCCAACAACGGAAAAATGCCTAATATCAGGAAATGGAGACTTTGCATTGTCTAATGAAAAAGGAAATTAGTCACCTTCCTTAAACTTAGTCAATGGAGAATTTGATTTTCTTATAGGCGTATTCCTGTCTGGGTTGTAAAAAGCCAGACAATAGCAAAAAAAAATCTAAATTTGTTTGTTTGTTTGTTTAAAACATTTATATAGCGGTCCATCTTCTAACCAACTCTAGGCAACTCCCAATCAAAAGCTAAACCAAAAATAAAATCATACTAAAATTATAAGACTAAACATTAAAATATATCTTTGCTTCCATCTGCTAATCTTCTGGATTTTTGCATCCCAAATATACACCTTATTATAATAAACTTTCTTAATAGAGCAGAATAGATGTTATCAGTCTTTAAATGCCTTTCTTGATTGTTTAGAAAAATTTTTGTGAGAAACATAGAAAAATAGAATACTTAGATTATACTAAATATTGGAAGTATTATAAGAAAACTACGTATTCCAATTATTCATAAGAAAGCAAGGCAGCCTCACCTTCAATGAGTCAATACAATATATCCTCATCTTCAATGAGTCAAAAAATGTGTGTCCTTAGCAGTAGAAATCTTAATCTTGCTATGTTTTATTCTATAGTTTATTTTTTTATTTATTTTATTTTATTAGATTTCTATACCGCCCTACTCCCGAAGGACTCAGGGTGGTGCACAGCCAGACAATAAAAACACATCCATACAAAATTTAAAAGTAGAATAAAATCAAATTAAATAGTTTTGGCTCCGACAAATTTAAAACCCCGAACTGATTAAAACCAATTTTAAAATTGAATATATAAGATACTAAAAGATATTTAAAAATTGAAAATCTTTTATGAAAGAGAGAGAAAATTAGGCCAGGCCTGCCTGGTGAAATAATAAGGTCTTTAAGGCGCAGCGGAAGGTGCGCAGATCCGGGATCCTCCGTATCTCTGGGGGGAGCTCGTTCCAGATAGTAGGTGCCCCCACAGAGAAGGCTCTCCCCCTGGGGGCCGCCAGTCAACATTGTTTGGCTGACGGCACCCAGAGGAGCCCCTCTCTATGGAAGCGTACCGGCCGGTGGGAGGCTATTGGTGGTAGTAGGTGGTCCCGCAAGTACCCAGGTCCTAAGCCATGGAGCTCTTTAAAAGTGGTAACCAAAACCTTGAAGTGCACCTGGAAGACCACCGGGAGCCAGTGCAGCTCGCGCAGGAGAGGTGTTACATGGGAATGCCATGTCGCTCCCATTACCACCCGCGCGGCCGCACTCTGCGCCGGTTGGAGCCTCCGGGTGCTCCTCAAGGGGAGCCCCATGTAGAGAGCGTTGCAATAGTCCAGGCGGGAGGTGACAAGGGCATGAGTGACCGTGTGTAATGAGTCCCGATCCAGAAAGGGACGCAACTGGCAAATCAGGTGAACCTGATGAAAAATCCTCCCGGACACGGCCGTCAAGTGCTCTTCTAAAGACAGCCGTGAATCCAGGAGGACACCCAAGTTGCACGCCCTCTCCGTGGGGGCCAATGATTCGCCCCCAATAGTCAGTGATGGCACCAACTGACTATATCGGGACATCGGAAACCACAGCCACTCGGTCTTGGATGGGTTGAGCCTGAGCCTATTCCTCCCCATCCAGATCCGCATGGCCTCCAGGCACCGGGACATCACTTCAAGGGCATCGTTGGGGTGGTCTGGGGTGGAGATGTACAGCTGGGTGTCGTCCGCGTACTGGTGGTACTTCACCCCAAAACCACGGATGATCTCGCCCAGCGGCTTCACATAAATGTTGAACAGGAGGGGCGAGAGGACCGACCCTTGCGGCACCCCACATATGAGGGGCCTTGGGGTTGACCTCTGCCCCCCTGTCAACACAGACTGCGACCGGTCAGAGAGAAAGAAGGAGATCCACCGCAACACAGTGCCTCCCACCCCTAACTCTTCCAGCCGGTGCAGCATGATACCATGGTCAATGGTATCAAAAGCTGCTGAGAGATCTAACAGGACCAGGACAGAGGAGCATCCCCTGTCCCGAGCCCTCCAGAGATCATCTACCATTTCTGTGCTGTACCCGGGCCTGAAGCCCGACTGGAACGGATCTAGATACGTCATTTCATCCAGGAGCTGGGGGAGCTGTTGCGCGACCACACTCTCAACAACCTTCGCAACGAAGTGAAGGTTGGAGACCGGACGATAGTTTACCAACATTGCCGGGTCCAGGGAAGGCTTCTTGAGGAGAGGCCTCACCACCGCCTCTTTCAAGGCAGCGGGAAAGTCACCCTCACCCAGTGAAGCATTTATAATCCCCTGGAGCCAGCCTCGTGTCACTTCCCGGGAAGCCAGCACTAACCAGGAGGGACACGGGTCCAATAAACAAGTGGTCGCGTTCAGTCTGCCCAGAATCCTGTCCACGTCCTCAAGGGTCACAGGCCCAAACTCATCCCAGATAACATTCTCAAGACCTGCCCCTGTCTCTCCCCCTGAGACTACCCAGTCGGAGTCCAAATCTTCCCGAATCTGAGTGATTTTGTCATACAGATACTGAACAAAATCCTCGGCTCTACCCTCCAAGGGGTCCTCCTGCGCTTCCTGATGGAGCAGGGAGCGGGTCACCCTAAAGAGGGCTGCCAGGCGGTTATCTGATGACACAATAAGAGCAGCAAAATTGCTACATTTCGCTGCTTTTATCGCCACTAGGTAATTCCTAATGTGGGATCTTACTAGTGTATGGTCAGATTCAGAAAGACTGGCCCTCCAACTACTCTCTAGGTGTCTTTTCCGGCACTTCAACTCCCTCAGCTCCTCGGTAAACCAAGGAGCCAATTGAGATCGGCGCCGGGTCAGAGGCCGCAAAGGCACGACCCAATCCAGAGCTTCAGCAGCCACCCTATCCCAGGCGGCCACCAGGTCTCCAGTCGAGGCGTGTGTCAGAACCTCAGGAAATGGCCCAAGCTCCATCTGGAATCTGTCAGGTTCCATCAGGCGCCTGGGGCGGAACCATCTTACCGGCTCCGCCTCCCTGCAGCGGGGTGCAGCGGTTTGAAAGTCAAGACGAAGGAGAGAGTGATCTGATCATGACAAGGGTTCAGTGACTATATCCCCTATCTCAAGATCCCTCAACCACTGTCCAGAGACAAAAACCAGATCCAGCATGTTTCCCCCTGTGCGGGTAGGGCCATGAATTAACTGGGTCAGGTCCATAGCTGTCATGGAAGCCATGAACTCCCGAGCCATCTCAGACATCTCACTCACGGACGGCAGGTTGAAATCCCCCATGACCATAAGCCTAGGGGTATCAACCACCACCGCGGCGCTGACGTTGAGTAGCTTGGGCAGGGCTGTTGCCACGTGGCAGGGAGCCAGGTACGTGATCAGCAAACCCATCTGAACCCCATGACCCCATTTCACAAAAAGGGATTCACAGCCGGCTGTCTGAGGAACAGTGGCCTCCCTCGGTCTCAGACCTTCTTTAATGATAACCGCTACCCCCCCGCCCCTCCCCTGTGACCTCGGCTGATGGAATGCTTGGAAACCTGGTGGGCACATTTTGAAGAGGGGAACCCCCCCCTCCTGGCCCAACCAAGTCTCCATAACACCTGCCAGGTCTGCACCCCCCTCCTGAACAAGATCATAAATTAGGGGGGCTTTATTTACTACGGACCTGGCATTGCACAGCATCAGCCGAAGGCCTGGGTCCTGAGGGTGTATGCAACCTGAGGAGCGAGTAGAGCCTTGGGGGCCGGAGCACACCACCGCTCGTAGACAGCGAGTGCACACTCCCCTAACACGATATGGCCCCCTGCTCCCGCCATATCTACCCCTCCCACCTACAGTACTGATGTTCAAAAGACAATGTTGTTAAACTTTATCTAAGTAAAAATTGTCAGTTATAAATTACCATATGGAACTGCAAGAATTCAGTATCCTATATTTACTCTGGATTACTTCTGTAGGAATGTGATCATTTTTGGATTTATAATTATTACTATCATTGTTATCGTCAATCATTTTTGCGATACAACTCATATATTTATATGAGTAAACAAACACAGTTGAAATGTTTTTAAGGAATCTTTTAAATGTTTTCTCTTTCTATAGCTGTTCATGGGGAACACCAACCCAACAGAGGTTGCTTATAGATCTTTTCCCAAGCCAGTTCTGACACGTTTTGTTCGAATCAAGCCTGTAAACTGGGAAACTGGAATATCACTGAGATTTGAAATCTATGGGTGTAAAATTACTGGTAAGGACTATGAAGAATTTACATTATTTTTTGTTTTTAAAGGAGTGATTGTCAGGACTGATCCGCACTTTTACCTATATTCCATCTCAGTCCAGCTTGACAAAGAAAAGGGAGGTATGGAATGGAAATCAAGGATGGCGGAAATGACATTCATCTTCGTCAGTTCCCATGAGACATTGCTCCCCGCAAAGGACACCCTTACCAGATGTCCCAGCATGGCTTGCTGGTTCCCATAACAAAATGAATAGAAATTATTGGTGGATGTAATGGACTGTGGGTGGCCCGTCAGGAAAAGAGGGATTAACTATCCTTGTTTTTGCGCACAAAACGCAGAGTTGGTTTTGCTTCTTCTGTGCCAATGTGGTTTACTCAGTAAAGTTTATACTCTTGGTAAAATAATATCTCAGGAGTTTCTTTTTCTGGATTTGCCAGCTGGACAGTTGACATGATATCATTACATATTTCCAGGTAAATAATTCCTGGTTATCTTAAAAAGACAGCAAATTGTTATTGTGATTTTCTATTTTTTCAAATGTGCAAATCAATAGTTGTCTTTTGAGTTACAACCACCTTAAAATGTTAATGTGCTTGTTAGTTAGCACTGGGAAAATATTTAAAAAATAACTGTATACATATAATGTGTATATATTCATAAGATGTTTTATAAGGCATAGACCATATAATGGGCCGGCACATAAGTACATGCACACACAAACACACACACACAGAGGGAAAGAACGAGTGACAGAGAGAGCCGGGGGATGGGGCTAGCATATATGACCAGATATAAACTGCAAAAACAGAGCAGTCACTAGATGGAGTAAACGGCTACTCAAAAAAGTAGATTCTGTTGCCATTTAGGGTTTTTCTGAATTTGTGCAGATTAAACATGTAGAGTACTTGCAATACATGAAAGTCCATGAAACCAAATACTAACTTTGTGAATTACGAAATGAAACCATGTAAATAAAACCACACAAACAATGCAGAGGCCACTTCAACATCTTAATGTTTATCCATTAGTATAAGGAGAAAGTTAACATTAGACAGAATCCATCATTTATCCTATCTTACATAAGAATAGAATAAATAATTTAGTTACTAATTTCTTTTCAGATCAAACAGTCCAAGGCTTTGGAGATAATGCATACAGAAGATTAATAAAAATGATTTTAAATGTTTGTGCTAGTCTACCAATCATCTAGAGTCCTTCTTCTTGTAAAATATTCCCATTCAGTTATATGGACAACAAGAAATAAAGGTCTTGTTGCATATGGACGGTATATACTTCCTTATGTCTGAGTGAATGCAGAAATGTAAGCTTTTTACTTGTCATATCTATTATAATGATATGTGCATTCACATTGCATTATTCAGATAAAGAGGGTGTTTTAGAAGCAAGGAACAAGCACACAGATTAATTAAAAGAAAAATTTATTACGAGGTTAATTCTATCTTTCTAACTAAAATAAAATCCATTAATCTGAACTATTTCATTAATCAGATTAATTGCATATTTCAAAACTGTTGCAAGCGTATTTTCCAGTGTTTCTGTCTTTCCAAAAAGAAACAGCTTTGATTAGGAAGGAAAATAACAGGAAGAGATGAATGGATGGATGGAGGAATGTGGTACGGATGACATAATCTATTTTTATCAAACCATATAATCAAAAATTTAACACAATGCAGTTACCAGCAAAAATACTCAGGAATGAAAAAAAAATCCATCTCAAATATCTTCATTAATACTGAGAAGTTCTACCTTCCAATTTCCTGAAAATATTCTACGAATTAAAGAAACTTCTGATGTGGAAGGGTTTCCTCTCCCTCCACCTATTTTTGGTGTTTTCAGAGTGCTTTAGAATTATTTTTAAATTTGTCCTGGTGGTACTTTTGAATCAACATCATCATTGTAAACTGGCCAAAGATTTTATTGCAGTTGGCTTTATCGGTACTATTGTTCCTTCAACACTCTATTCCATTACTCTGTAGCCTTCTTGGTTTATGATCTGTACTTTACTGATGGCCAAATGCTAATCTCTGGTTCATTTATCCAGACTGAAGGCCAATCAATCATGTAGAGTCAAAGAAAGTGGAAATTTGTCACTTTATTTCTGATCAGAAGGAGCTTCCTCTGCTGAATTTAGCAACAGCAAAAGCAAAAGTATAAGAGGAGTTTTAAGTAAGACTTGCATTCTATTTTTATACCCTCAGCCAAAAGAGATTCAAAGCAGAAGTTCAATCATTGGTTATAAATTTCATTTTCTAGAGTGCCTGTAGAACTAGATGTGTTTGCCAGGTTTTTCTTAGCACAAGCTAGTTTTTAGCTTGCAAATAATTATCTCCAGAGTTTCATCTGAACCCACCCACCCACCCACCCTGTGCCCCCAGCCCAAGCCTAATAGCATGTTGCGTTCTTTTGTTCCAGGTTTATTGCAACAAGTATATGCTTTCCAAACTAGATAAGCTGCTGCTATCTCCGTGTTCTGAGTTTCTATGCAGACAAGAAGAAAATAAACTGAAAAGAATATATTCCTTTTTGAATGAAGTGCTTTCAAAGTTGGAATTTGGATCCTCAGGATCTCATTCCCCTCTCTTTTTTCAAACAAATTGAGTGAGAATGATTAAAATTTGCAGAAGAATGTTTTGGCTCAGTGACATCAGTCAAGAAAAGATTTGGTTAAGCCTAATGAGTCAATCTATGGCTCTGTAACACAAGATTTTCGAAATGTGTTTTATTGGCTATTCTATTTTAGTTCACTCAATAATACACTTCTTTGCAGATGATGGTAGCAAAGCTGATAAAAACAATGATAAAAAATCGTTAATACATGAGCAGTAAAACTATTCAGAAGTGCTATGCATATAGGTATAAGAGCCTTGGTGGTGCAGTGGACTAAAGTGCTGTTAAAGTAGCACTTAGCTGCCAGCTGCCTGCAATTACTGCAAGTTCAAATCTCACCAGGCTCAAGGTTGACTCAGCCTTCCATCCTTCCGAGGTAGGTAAAATGAGGACCCGGATTATGGGGGCAATAAGCTGACTTTGTATAAAAAAGAACACCGCTTAGGGAGGGCTGAAAGCCTTTTTTTTTTTTTTTTTGTATATACAAAAAAAAGTATGAAGGCTATTGCTTAACACATTGTAAGCCGCCCTGAGTCTTCGGAGAAGGGTGGCATATAAATCGAATCAATAGATAGATAGATAGATAGATAGATAGATAGATAGATAGATAGATAGATAGATAGATAAATTAGGGATGTATATACAAAACACTTATGTACTTTCTTTTGCTTTGGTTTAGATTATCCTTGCTCTGGCATGCTGGGTATGGTGTCTGGACTCATCACTGACGCTCAAATTACAGCATCAAATGAATTAGATCGGAATTGGCTTCCAGAAAATGTCCGTCTTATAACAAGTCGTATAGGATGGGCACTGCCACCCCCGATTGGTCATACATATACAAAAGAATGGCTTCAAATAGACCTTGGTGAAGAAAAGAAAGTCCAGGGCATAATTGTCCAAGGAGGTAAACACAGAGAAAACAAGGTCTTCATGAGAAAATTTAAAATTGAATATAGCTACAATGGATCAGACTGGAAATGGATTATGGATGCCAGCAAAAAGAAAGCCAAGGTAAATTTATAATCATGCATGGTGAACAGCATAGTTGGTGCTATTTATCTCCAGGATTTTTGATCTGCATGCAAAAGGCTCATTTTTGGTATGTGGTATTTGGTATTTTATTTAGTATCAAATAAAAATAGTCGCTATTCCTGTAAAATGCTACAGAGCTGCTGCAGTTAATGTAGAAAATAGCGATACCATATTTTTCAGACTATAAGATGCTACAGACTATAAGACACACCTAGCTTTTGGGGAGGAAAACAAGAAAAAAAATCTGCCTCTGCCTTTCAGCATCCATCTGATATTCATTTGGCCCATTCACTGCCACCCGTTTGCCACAACCCATTCGCTGCTGTGGCCCATTTGCCAGAGTCTCCGCAGCCCGTTTGCCATGGTCTGTTTGCTGCAGTCCATTTGGCGTGGCCCATTCAGCACAGCTCATTCGGCGCAGCCCATTTGCTGCCGCGGGCCGTTCATCACCACCTCATTCTAGAACAGCTGATTGGCACCGCAGCAAGCTCCCTCCCCCTCCCGTGGCAATATTCACTGTATAAGACACACAGACCTTTCCACCCACTTTTTTGGGATGTGGGGGGAGTGTGTCTTATACTCCAGTATAATCCTCTAGTATATACGGTATTTTATACCTAGAAAACTTCTATCCATGAACTAACAGTGACCTAGCTGTTGCCCAGCTAATCAGGAAAATCATTAGTTCAAATGCTTTTATCTGAACTTCCCAAAGGCTCTATTGAGTCAAGCTTAATTTTTGGAAACTACAAGGATGGGTTTTAATATTTTCTCATATTGTGGATATGGTTAGCCACTGCCACTTTGAAGAGTTTTGCTATTATTTTTATATTTTGTAGCGTAGTCTGTAGCACTAAGACCATTTGGTGGTCTCCTGTCCAAGTATTAACCCTCTCTCATCCTGGTTAACTATCATGCCCTTTGTCAATGTGAAATGTATAGCTCAGTGGTGGGCTATAGATAGTACTTAGTACTGGCGACTGGCTCTAATTTACAACTGTTGTAGCATTTTGTGGTTACCTGACTGCAATTTTCTACCTTCCTTGTTGACTTCTGATAAGCAACTCAATTACGGAGGCCATTACTGCGTAAGTCACTTAACAACTATGGTAAAAATGTTGGTAAAATTGATCATGTGATAGCTCAATGGCCATATTTCTTAGCAACTGAAATTCTGCTCCCAATTGTTGTTGTAAATTCAGGACTATCTGTTCTATCTTTACATGCAAAGTTTCCCACGTTTCATCTCTTTGTTCTAATATGGAGCTTTAAAAAAAATCCATGATGAACTATTACTTGGCCATATTACTAGTATCAGGCACAATATAAAGCAGTTTGCTAGAACTTCAGCCTGTCCAGAAATTGTATCCACTTCTTAATTTCTATAGGAAGAAAGGCAATCATGGATCTATTTTCAAATGGCCTTGAACCTGAAAATAATGGGCTCATCATAAAGTGTAAAAAAATAAATAATTCCGGCAATGGGATCTCACATTGTCTTTTATTAGAAATGCAGATTGTCCTGACATAGCCGTCTAAATGAAGCAGAAATAACATTATATCTTTTTGCTGTGACATACCTTGGGCTACTTAGTCTTCTGGTATTAAATTTAGAGCATTTGTTCTTACTGTCAAAACTAGCAGTCCTGGTAAAATGAATGCTGGCAGACATATTATGTCCATTCAGAGTCTTAATTTCGTAGAAAAGTGAGCTTTCAAAATCTACTTTTAAAAAAAATGTTTTATAGCATGCATAATCCTAGTAAATATTCAGAATATTTAAAATTGTTCTGTCTGTGGGAAAGTTGGATAAAATCCTGAGATATTAGAAAGCTAGGAGAATTTAAAATAGGACTTAGGCATTTTTAAAATATTAATTAAGCTTTGCTATATGTAATGCTGACCACACTGATTAAAAGAATAAATTAAAAGCAAATATCTTTCTTGAAAAGAAACAGAATTTACTGAGTACATTCTTAGATGGAAAGCACCATATGATAGATTTTTACCTATTCATATTGCTGTAATAATCAGCTGAACTGCTATTTTTACTTAATAACTTTGCTCCTTTTTTTGTATGACATATTCAAACCAGACACACCAAACACTATTCATTATTATATTTTATTATCTAAATAGTAATTAAGGATGGATTCCATAGTAACAAGAATGGGTCCCTATAGGTATCATAAATAGCCTTTTCTTTTATAGAACTTATGTATTTATTTTTATTCATATCACTCCTTTTGTTAGGAACTCAAGGTAACATACAGAGAACTCATTATTTTTCTTCACAACTGTCCACCTGTGGGTTGGGTTAGGCTGACTGGTTCAAAGTCATCCTTCCAGAAGGAATAATCTTGAGGAAAAAGGGGAGACCCACTACCAAGACAAAAGACAAATAAAAGAAATCAGAGCCAGAACAATATTCTGAGAATTGGAGTGGATTTTAATTGCCATCTGGAAGGAAAGGAAGGATACTGTGGTACCTCATCCATTTCAGTTATGACAACATAACTACAGATATTGGGGAAGTGTCTACAGTAACTAAAAAAATCATCAACATGATATAATTTTACTATCACATCTTGCAGGAACTTTTAAATGTAGGAAGAAAGGTAGCTTTGGATCTAGAAAGCTTCTCTTCATAGCAACTCTGCATATTACAGAACCTTAAAAAATAGCAGGAGCACTAGCAGATTTTTCCCCTTTTTGAGGAGTGGGGCAGTAGTGGGTTGTCCCTGGTTCGGACCGGTTCACAAGAACTGGTACTAAAACCAGCGGGAGGCTCGCCCACTGACCCGGACGTCATCATAGGGGATCTGCGCATGCGCAGAAGAGCACACGGGCGCGCAAGCAAAGCAAGAGCACAGGAGTAGGAGTGATGCAAACCGGTAGTAAAGGCAAGTAGAACCCACTCCAGGAGTGGGGTTGAGGGAACATATGCAACTGGCATTATGATTGATTTTTTTACTTTCCTACGATATTGATAAGTAGATAGAGTGTTTCTTAACTTAATTTTTGTTCCTTGTTTTCAGCTTTTTGATATTGCAGAAATAAATATGATTTAAAATCTAGATTGATTGGTAACCATCTTATTAAATTATTATCTGATTTATAGACTGTATTGGAGATATTTACCAAGGTCTTCTGAAAAACTGATAGAGAACACTGGGACCCAAATATCAGGCATATTCATTTAAGAAAAGATAGTCATTCCTTCCAAACTGTACAAATTCTTTTGTTTCCAACCCTGCTTTGGTACAAATACACATCTCAGTAATAGCACACACAGTTGCTTTCTATCATTTCAGCCAGAAGTACACAATGAGAGCAATAATTTATGTATAATTATGACCTTGATGCATTCCAGAGCTTCCTTTCTCTAGAGTAGCTGCTACCACCCATATAGCAAGCACTGTTAAATTTCAAAAGGAGACAGATTTATCCAGAATGCTTCAAAGAATACTAAACCCTAATCTGCTGCTTCTGTCCTTTCTCCTGCTTAATTATATATCCCACCATTGAAGACATCCTTCTGTATTTTAATGTCTGTGGCCAAAAGATGAATGGAAAGAGATCTCTGAACTGAAAAGAATTGCTTTTTTAATTCCTAAATAAACATTTCATCAATAGAGACCCCAGTGAAGTTTGTTCTACTCCTATAATAAAAATAGTGATTAGTCTTAACAGTCCCTATGATACTTAATATATTTATTTAGGATAAACTGGGTGAGTATAATAAAAATTTCATGTCCCACACATCTGACATCTGAAGGCTACCTAAGAGAGCATTAAATTTCTATTGAATTCTATGCCTATTTGTCAGTACACTGTTCTGAACAGGTCATTATTATATTTTACTATCTAAACAATAATTACGGATGGATTCCAGAGTTACAAGAATGGGGCCTACACTGTAAACATTCTTCCATTTATAGAATGCATTTATTTATTTATGTATTTACTTTTAGTCATATCACTCCTTTTGTTAGGACCTCAAGGTAACATACAGAGAACTCATTATTATTTTTCTTCATCAGTATCAACTTTGAGCCTTGGTAGCACAGTGGACTAATGCACTGTTATTAACATCTGCTGCTTGCAATTACTGCAAGTTCAAATCCCACCAGGCTCAAGGTTGACTCAGCCTTTCATCCTTTCAAAGGTAGGTAAAATGAGGACCCAGATTGTGGGGGCAATAAGATGACAGGTTATTGCTTAACGCATTGTAAGCCACCCTGAGTCTTCAGAGAAGGGGGGCATATAAATTAAAGCAAAAAGAAAAACAAAACTTTGGGGTAGGTTAGGCTGACTGGTCTAAGTAATCCAGCATAATGGGCAGAAAGAATAACCTTGTGTAGCAAGAGAAAGAGCCACTACGAAGACAATGGCCAAATAAAAGAAATCTGAATCTGAGCCAGAATTGTAATCTGAAAAATCACCTCAGACAAAACGCTCCCTAATTCTCATGAAGGTAAAAGGGTGGGGAAACACATTCAGAGTTGCAAGATTCTGTTGCTGTAATCTTGAGTAGTATTACCTTCCATGACTTTGACTTCCTAGGCTGGTCTACTTTGAAAGCCTGCAACCAGTGAATTTCTGAGAGTGAGATAAACTTTTTTTTTTTTTAATTTGATTTATATGCCGCCCTTCTCCGGAGACTCAGGGCGGCTTACAATGCGTTAAGCAATAGCCTTCATTCTTTTGTATATTTTATACAAAATCAGCTTATTGCCCCCACAAACTGGGTCCTCATTTCACCTACCTTAGAAAGGATGGAAGGCTGAGTCAACCTTGAGCCTTGGAGAGATTCGAACCAGCAGAAATTGCAGGCAGCTGTGTTAATAACAGGGTGCACTAAACCACTGTACTATCAAGGCTCTTAAACTTGTCTTTATCCAAAGTCTTCATCACACACGTAGCACACTTTTCTCATGGGACTTTTACGATAGTTGAAATTTGAATTGTACTATGAATAATGATGACTTTTTTATATATAAATAGTTGTACCCTTTGATGTATTTTCTAAATGTTCTCAATATACCAAACACTTCTCTTTTTTAGATTTGAGCAGGAGATCCATACCTTTGAGCACAAAAGGATTTATTTTTGGATAAATATGTGTAAAGTTTATACATAGAACATCTACTCGTGCTGTTATAAAATATATGGTTTATACCTATAAATAAACACCAGGCATAGAATGCTGAAGAGATATATGAATGCACCATTCCTTCAAACATATTTTGACAATTTTGGCACTCATGAACTCAAAATAGGCTTAATGAATGAATAAAATCATTAATAAATGTGTTCCTCACATTCACAGAAAGGAAAATAGACAAGGAATAGATAGGTGACCAAATCATACTGAGGAATTTCTAGATAACAAATAATCTAAATCCCAGCCATAAATCAAAAGCCAAAAATGCAATACTATATATGAATAGGGTTGACCTAAATATTTGTGCAAATGAAATTTTAAAAGGGCAAGAAATCTTTCAACTTCTGAGACATTCTTTTGAAGCACAAGTAATTGGCCCATTCAATTTATGCATCATTCTGATTCGCAAGAAGGCTTTTTCTTCCAAAGAAAAATTTATGTGCTTAACTAACTTCACTATAGGAAGTTCTCAGCTTAATGATCAGAAATGTTTATAATCATAAGTTGGAGCCCTTATGTGGCTAGAAGTAACTTCCCAGTCTTTTTTGCAGAAGTCATTAAGTGAACACTGCAGATATTAAGCAAGCGCTTCAGTTGTTAAGTGAAGCCACTCATTTGAATGAGTGTTTTTTGCTGCAAAAAACCTGCAAAAATCATTGGAAATCATGATCAACTGATCCACCCAACATACAGTCATGGGACCATGGAGGGGCCTGCATGTCCATTTATGCCAACAAGGGAGCACTTTATGAGCTGTAAAGCACCCATTCTGTGCCTGTCATAACTTTGAATGGTCATAAAATGTCTGCTCATAAGTTGAGGACTACCTATGGCTAGTCAAGGAAGAGAACAGAATTATAAAATAAATGCTTAATTTAACACATAAATTAGATATATTGGGTGAAAATTCTCTATACTTTGGTTACTGTCAAAAACATTCTACATTTAATTGAAGTGTTCCTGCCAATATCCCTGACACAAAGCAATTTTCCCTTGGAAGCATTTCTCAGTGGTTTCCATAGAGCTAACATGAAAACTAAATCAGGCTTGAGTTGTAACAAAGCTAGTAAGAGGTCAGAAGTATGAATCAAGATGAATATGGTTGATTTCCATGTTATGGCATTTTCACAAAAATCATTTGAATAATATAGTAGTTTTATTCTCATCTTTTCAGTGACAGCTTGAACAACATATATTTTGTGCTAGTTCAAAAATTCTTTATTACATATCATTATCTTCTATTGTAGGAAAAGTTAGGGATCTACCACATGATTGGCTTTAAATAGCTATGCTTCCAGGGGCAGGTTGACACTTAAAATTAAAAAGTCTGGTCTTCAGAATAATTAAGTTCTGGTTGAGATTTGTGCTATTAATACAATGAAAATTAATGAGGTCCAAATCAAATATTTCTATAGTTGACTGGTTTTCCAAGCAATCTCACAAATACTGTAGCTTTATCGTATTACAAGTAGTTTATCTTTCTTAGATTTAGTTTTAAAGACATCTGTTATTTTACAGCAGCTATTGTTTCTAAAGTTTAATTTGCATACTTGCAATATAACTGTAAGCATCAGGATAAAATTTCTCTCTTGAAATTTTCCCTTATAACTACATGAATGGTGACTGACATTTAGAAGAAACCCTTCCCTGAATATATCATGTATCATATATCATATAAATTCCAAATGTAAGCTTCATTAAAAAGATTTCCTATTAAAACATTTGACTTTCCTACTAGTCCTGATGGATAGATTTCTGGAAAACAAGACATGAAACTTCTTAGAGAGTCTTCAACTATCTTTTCTTTCTTTTATTTTCTAAAGAAATGAGCCTCTTTGAACAATCAGAACTGTGATTACTGTTCAGTTGTTAAGCAAATGGTGGGTGGGGGTGCTGCCAGCTGGCTAAAAATAAACCTATTTGTGATTGTTAAAGCAGCACAATTTTGTATGTATGCTCTACAGATTTTTGAAGGCAACACCAACTACGATACTCCTGAACTTCGCACTTTTGACCCATTGACAACCAGATTTATCCGTGTTTATCCAGAAAGAGCCACACATGCTGGATTGGGACTAAGGTTGGAACTACTCGGTTGTGAAATTGAAGGTAATTGCATAATCCCTGATAAATCTGTGTCATTGATTCCTATAGTGCAGATCTATTGATCCTCCATTAGCTTTTAATATTTAGTGTGATTTTTATAAAGCTTTTCCTATCTTCAACTAGCATATTATACTTTTGTTTGATGCCAGCAGAATTCAACAAATTATGCAGTAGTATATGTAAAGTCTCCTCCTCCTCCTCCTCCTCCTCTTCTTCCTTCTTCAAAATGAAAAATGAAGACATTAGTAAATGAAGGGGTCATTTCAATATGATTAATCCATTTAATTACAATCTCCTATATATTTGGATTAAAGTTTTCTTAAAATCAAAGCCTTTCTTCAGGCACACAATTAATACATTTTATTAGATCTGTGGATTAGAGATATGCAGACTTTCCCTGCAAAACAAAGTGAAGTGAAAATTCTGGGAACAAAATTTTCTAAAGCATATGTAAAGTTCAAAGATGGGGCTACTCCCTCCAAAAAAACTCTTCCCTTGCATAAACCTGAGTAAATCTGATTCACATATTTAATCAAAATGAAGAACATTGAGATCAGAGTTTCCTGCTTTGATTAAGAAAAATGAGCACTGTTGTTCACCATATCTAGCTTTCGATTTCTAAAAACTCATTTAGAGACAGCTTGTCCATGTGAGCTATAACTGACTTGATTCAAAAGTTTCATATACAAATCAATTTCTCCCATGAAGATCCTGCTCCTGTAATGGTTTCCACGTTCATTTAATTGGCAGTACATCATTTTGATGAGGAATACCAAAAAACCCAAACCAACAAAATCGCAAGCAAATAAAATCCTCGCTAAAATGGAGAATGTGGCTCCATGTGGAAAGCTCTGCAGACATACCATGAGGTTGTCTTATTGTTTTTATTGTCTAAATTTGTAGATTCTGATATAACTTCAAACTCTATCCAGATAGCTTGCATTAATTTGTCTTAAAATGACAATATATCAGTAAGGATCAGGAACGGTGACTTTGAATTTGATTTGTGTCATCTGCTACTGGTGGAGTTTTGACCAAGTATGAATCTTGAAATAACATTACATTCTATATGCGACTGCTTGAGGGCTCCTGGATTGGAGCTGAAAGGCAAAAGGGAAGCAGTATGCTCCCTTCGATATTGGAGTAGACCAGGTGCTTCAATAGAAAAACACTTAATCTCTCCCCTGGCTCAAGCTGATAAAGAGAGGAGAATTTGTGGCTCAGAGGTTAATACAACTGCCTAATATGCAGGCAGCCCAAGTTCAAATCCGAGTAAGGGTATGACTAGGAGATGAGAGCTAAATAGCTTGAAATAGATCTATACTAGTGTCCCTTTATTTCTTTATCAGCAAATATAAATTTGGTATAAAATGGTTTGTCGTCAATGCAACTGTTTAAGAGCTCCTGGATTAGAGCTGAAAGGCGAAAGGGAAGCAGTATGCTCCCTCCCATATTGGGGTAGACCAGATGCTTCGATAGAAAAACACTTTTACATACATACATACATATATATAAACCATAATCTTTTCTTCCATGTATGAGACTGTGAGAAACAAAAGCATTTGTTAGAGTTTAATTTCACAAAAGAAATTATCCACCTTCCTATTTCCTATCCTTTGCCCTCGTATAAGAATTGTCCAAATGGAAATTTGGGGAGATAAAAAAGGAAAATCAGTAAAAAGCATCATTTTAGTTATTAAATCTTTTTAAAATAATTTTAAATTATTATTTTTATTTTATTCAAAAGAATTATTCTTTTAAATAATTCTTAGTATTTTCACTTTAAGACTTCCCCAATCCTATACTAGTACTGGGACTGTGATGCTCACTGTTTCCAGGTAATGTGTATGCATTCTAATACATTAAAAAACTCTGTGTTTAGATCTATCTGAATCAAGCTGGGATTTTTTTTCAGTCCCTACTTCAGTCCCAACCACTGCTGATACCAGTCCTGTGGATGAGTGTGATGATGACCAAGCTAACTGCTACAGTGGAACAGGTGATGACTTCCATTTGACAGGTGCAGAAACCATCCACATTTCATTCCAACTCTGTTTTCATTCAAATCATTTTCACAATGCCATACTTGTTTTATCTTTATTACTTACTAGAAAAATTATGACATATTCATGCATAATCTGCAACAAGGTATTGAAGTTAATATTCATACTTAAATATACTTGCTCTGATATATCTGTAAAGTTGAGCACTTTAATATGCCTGCCTTTTAATTCTTTTCATTAATAATTTGATTTAAATCTGCTTGATTAGATATGTAACCTGAGTAGATTAATAAACTGAAAATACTTCTTAATTGAGGGATGTGGACAAGTATATGTTGCCTATAGGTAGCCTACAGATGAGATATTTTAGCTTTCCCAGAGCAAATGTATGCCTCAAATATGTCCAAACAGATCAGTACTATTACCTAGCATGTATAACTAAAGTCATGATACATAGTTAATTTCAATATCTGTGACCTATCTATGAAAATAGGAAGGTTAATAAAGATTGCAAGGAAGTGATGGTATAAGTTTAGTTATGAATGAAAGGAATAAAATGTATGTTAAAAAATATTATTTGGTGTCATTTTGGGTTGTATTAGATACCAAAGAATATTGATAATGGAAAAATCATGATAGATTTGGGGAGAAATTATGCAATAAAATAAAAATGAGAACAAGGGGAAAAAACCATTCTATTAAGCAACTTGAATAGATTAATAAGAACAAGATAAGAAAATAAAAAATAAACAATCAGGCTACTTGGAAACCAAGAATAAATTAAAAGGGTGACTATCTAACAAATAAATATTATTTGTTACATAAAAATGCAAGTAATAAATAAATAAATAAATAATATCTGTCTAGGAAAAATTCTTTGTTTCAAATTCATGGTTTAAACATAAGTCTATAAGTCATACAATTTTAGAATTGTGAGCTGCCCAGAGTCATTCGGTTGAGGTGGGCAGCTATAGTGAATGAATGAATGAATGAATGAAGTAAAGGAACAAACATAGATCTAAAAACAATGAATGGATGAAATATGGATTTAGATATTGAAGGTATGATACAGTGAAAGAGACTGTGGATGAGGAGACTGTGGATAACTGCTTATAACTGCTGCAAAAATGATGAGAGAAATGTAGAGAAGAAAAGATAGTTGCAAAAATGTTGACAAAGAGCAAGGACATATGAAGATGTGGAGAAAAAGTGGAGGAAATTCATAGTACAGAAATAATGCTAGAAGTAAATGAAGAGACTGAGCCAAGTAGGTCTAATAGAGTGATCAGATTTAAAATTAATTATAGAATAAGAAATAGTAATTTGTCAAAGATGAAATGAATGGTAAAAAGTCCAACAAAAAAAACCAAGGACAAGATATTCATAGGCAAAGCAGGATGAGTTTTTTAAGCTACACCCATCCGTTGTACTCAGGGATGTTTTGAAGACTCTAGAAAACGAACATGATAACACCGTAACTCAATAAGTGTTAACATGTAATGCCTCTATGAAAAGTGCAGCTTCATTGTATATTGCAGTGAGGAATATGTTATCTGAAAATTAATGTATCAAAGACCAAGGCTGATGTTTTTGACAGGGAAATCAAGTGAACAATTACAAGTTTTACATAAATAGCTTAAGAAACTACAGAAATATTCTACTATGTAGCAGGTAAAGATGAAAAATGAAGATGAAAAGGCAAACATGAAAAAAAAGTATGCATATGTGGGTAATTTCGTGCCATTTTATTTTGCTGAAGTTGATTAAAACACGAACAATGGATTAGAATTAAATTGTACAATACATGTTAACCAATTGCAGTTAGCCCTAATAAAAATCCTGGGATTTATTGTTTAAAACACAATGTGTAAATAAGAGAAAGAGATATTTTCTTCCCCCTGAAACAACCTTTTAATACAGAAGTATGCTAATCACTTGTAATTTAACTGTCTTAGCTGGATTGCTAAGTAGGCTAATGCAATCTTGGCTGCAATCCAGTTTATTTATAACATGGGGTAGTTTTCTTCCAAATTCCATTTAGCAAAGACATTACAATTGGAGCAAAGAAAAGGGGGGGGGTTCCTACTTTTTCCTTTTCATTAATATTTAGCCTAAACTGGAACTCAGTGGTAGTCTGTTCTTCCTACTTCAGAGATGCATTTAAGTCTCTACAGCTCATCTAAGCATTAGCAAATTAAAAGAATCTGCAAAAATCAGAGAGCTAAAATAGTGTCTGTTTCTTATAGAAGCTACACTTTGGTTAGCTGATGAAGCTGTTTGGAATTTTCTTATCTCATAAAACTTTGTATCTGATTTGTTAGTTAGGATTTGTCTGTTAATCAAAGTGATGACCCTACCAATAAGTGATTTCATTTTCATCCTGATGAGTTATTGTCCAATTATAATTAATAAAGTAATATATAGCTGGACAGGTTAATATTTATTCTTTCTTACATGATAGTGCAGCTTCCAACATCACTAAATGCTTATATTCTCTTATAATGTGTTATTCATTGAAGGCATAGATAGCCCAAATAGACCCAGTTGTGGGGGCAATAAGCTGACTTTGTATAAATATACAAAAGGATGAAGGCTATTGCTGAGCACATTGTAAGCCGCCCTGAGTCTCCGGAGAAGGGTGGCATATAAATCAAATTTTTAAAAAAAGATTAAAAAAAAATAAAATCCATTCTTATTAGGCATCACATAGCAATGATGCTTGGTTTCCCTCTCCATCCCACCCAAAATTTTATGGAAACAATTAAAATGTATTAAATAGTTTGAACTACTTTTTTAAAAACATCAAAGTTAAGCAAGCTCTCAACATTCTCAGTTCCATAACATGGATATTATGGTATTTTTCTCTGGAAACATTCCATAAAACAATATACTACATGAAAGAATTGTGCCTGTCACTTTAACATTTTCTCTTCAGCACCAAGACAAAGGAATGGGATTAGATATTACACGTGTGTCAAACCCGATTGTGTCACGGGCCGGATCGTGACATATCGTGACATTTTTTGCCTTTGCAGAACCAGGGTTGGCGTGGCCTACGTGTGATGTTTCCAGCCCACTGGTCGTCAGTTTGACAGGCCTGAATCATTAGAGAGACCTCTTTCTAGGATCAATCAAAATCATACTCGCAGTATTTCAACTTTTCTTGTGCCAATTGTTTTTGCTTAGTTCTCTTAAATCATTATTGTGCAATGGATTGTGCAATGGAAGAATAATGATAGAATCTAACTAACAATTTTAAATTCAATGTGGGGAGAAAATGAAAAAAATTGTGTTATATTCAAGATAGCGTGTTTTTCAAATAAAGTGTCTCTTGGGAATATATATATATATATATACCTTGATGATTCAATTTATAAATAAGATGATAAATGGATGGATTTTGACTTTTCTTTTTGTGTGCGTGTGTGCGTGTGCATGCAATTTTTTTTTCAGGGAGTACCACAGCTACAATCACGGAAAAACCAGTACCAACTGATACTACAGTTCAGCCAGGTAGGCTATAAAAATAATTGTCTCTGGATAAAGTACACTACATTTCTGAATTGTGTGTTGTGTCAACAACAATTTAAATGAATTGCAGGGTCTTCCAACTTGCCTTCCTTCAAAGTGTTTGAAGGATAATGGAACATCTGAATTCTAAGCTCGGTTCACGAAACGCTTTCCTTCTTTTATCCAAATGTGTATGCAGTAAAGAATGAGTGTTGATGTATGCCAAGTTGTGACAATAGTATGAAAATATTCAGCAGCTGAATTGCGCACTGTACTTTCTGGGAGAAAGATGATATCTTGTGTATGATACATTATGTGTTTGCAAACCAAAGGGAGAAAGTCCATGGAGAACAGGAGTAAAGTTCAGGCTATTTATATCTGCCACTCTTCTGGAAAAACTTTGCCAGGTTTATTTTTTCCCCCTCCAATCATACAGTTGGCAGTTTTACAATATTCTTTCCTAGGTAGACTTCTTTGAAAGATTTTATGCAAATTGCTTAAACTTGAGCAGAGGCAAAACAAAAGTTATTACTGGCAGCTGGTCCTTTCTCCTCAATCAATACAATAGCTAATAGTGGTTGGAAAAGCTCTTAATTTGCAGTTTCATTGGGCTATTTTATTATCCTGCATGGGAGAGAGAGAGAGCGATAGAAAGATCCCCCCCCCTCAAATTCTCTAAGTCTGATCAGCAGTTTTAAATGCTTTGTGTTAATAATTGTAAAAAGGGGGAAAGGTCACTCCTCCCGTTACTCCCATTTCCTTTATTAAATGACAATCAGGCACAGCCTGAAAAGTAATTTCACAGGCTATGTGTCTTTGTGTATGCCTCTGCCATACTGAGGCTTTGCTATAAGCAAAAATTAAAAAAAAAATGAATGTATCAATAATGAAAAAGCTTCCATAAAAGACAACAGTGTGACAAAAAGCAATCAGAGTAAAGTAATTAATTCCGAGATTTTGTCTCTTAACCTCTGAATTTCCTTGTCATAAAATGTTTTCCATGCTTTAAATTAATTTTTCTTCCTCCAAGTTTATTCAGTCAGCATATACTATTGTGAGCAGCATCCTGTTTTTTCTATCTTCATAGTGTTAAAAAAAAAAAAAAGCTTTGTTGAAACATTACTTTGAGGGCTATTTTTTTCTTGGCAATAATCTTAGATTCAGTATTGTTTGATTTCTTTGTATCTTGAAGGCTTGTCTATGGAGATTCTCAGTCATCTGGGTCATGGTTGTCTCAAAGGTTCTTTTTCAAAAGGTGACTGGACTTTGTTTTTTTCTGAAGACATTTCGCTTCTTATCCAAGAAGCTTGTTCAGTTTTTCAAATCTTCTTCAGAAGTACTGAAGAACCTTCTTGGATGAGAAGCGAAATGTCTTTAGAGAAAAACAAAGTCCAGTCGTCTTTTGAAAAAGAACATTTTATATACAGAAACTTATAATAAGGTATTACTATTGGTTCTTATTTTTATTGGTTTCTCATTGGAATATATATGTTTTATTCATATTTCTTAAGCAAAGAAAGATTTGTGTTTCTTTAGAAATGATTCCACTTTTGTGCGATCCCTGAGCAGTTTTAGGAAAATAGAAGTAGGACCAGGGGTGGGATTCTATCAGTTTGGGCTAACCAGTAGCTCCGATGATCAGCTGGGAGCGAACCGGTTTGCCCCAATGATCAGATGGGCCCGCCTACACTATTTTCCTACCTTTATCTTTTCAACTGATTCACGCAGCAGAGCAGATTGCTGCGCCCCAGCTGTGTTTCTCCTCCGAAGAAACACAGAAGTGAAGATTTCTTCAAAATGTGCACACACGAAGTGCGCGATCACCAAACTGGTTGTTAAACCGGGAGGAGCCCACAACTGAGTAGGGCTGTGAAGCTAATCTAACTCTGCATCTAATCATGACACATGTAAAAAAAAACCCAAAAACCAGGCAGATCATTGTGGCTGACAAAACTAAGTTTGCTGCATCCATTGTCAGCCATTCAGTCGTGTCTGACTCTTGGTCATTCTATGGATCAGCATTCTTTTTTTTTTTATTGCAAAAGTTTTACAATTACATTTTCACCCCTTTTTCCCCCCCCACCAGCCCCCCCCCAAACTTCCCAACCTCCCTAACCCTCCCTAACCCTCCCCTCCCCCCAGACTTCCCTATAATATACTCATAACTGGTAAAAAAAAAAAACACACACAAAAAAAAACCCCTTAGTATGACACTTATGTGTAAACTTGAACCCCTCCCTCCCCTGTATAATTTTTCTTTTTACCTCATTTCATTAAAATATTTCTAATACATTATTTTCAAATAAAAGCTATTTGATACTTTCTAGTTTGATATTTGTTCTGAACATATTCTATCCACCTTTTCCATTCCCATTCATAAGTCTCTTGTGAACAATCTTTTAAGTATGCTGAAATCTTCGCCATCTCTGCAAAACTGGCCATCTTCAAAGTCCATTCTTCAATAGTGGGCAAAGCTTCATTTTTCCAATATTTGCCTATCAACAATCTTGCTGCTGTTATCATATACAATATCAATTTTGTTTCACCCGATGTAAAACCCTTAACTATACCCAATAAAAACAATTGTGGAGAGAATTGAATTTTTTTCTTCAAAACATTCTGCATGACCCACCAAATTTTTATCCAAAAAGCCTTAACTTTCCTACAGGTCCACCAAACATGATAATACGTAGCATCCAAACATTCACATCTCCAACATTTTGGCTGAACATTAGGGTACATACATGACAACTTTTTGGGATCTAAATGCCATCTATAAAACATTTTATAGAAATTTTCCCTCAGATTCTGCGACTGTGTAAATTTAACATTCTGAACCCAAATTTTTTCCCATGTTTCCAACATCACTGGTTCTTCAAAATTTTGTGCCCACTTAATCATACAATCTTTAACTAATTCAGTTTCTGAGTCCCTTTCTAGCAAAACATTATAAAGCCTTTTGATATGCATTGGACCTTTCTCTTTTATATGTCTAACCAATTCTTCCTCGTGCAACATAATACCAGTTTTTTGGTCCTCCTTCCATCTCAATTGTAATTGATTATATTGTAACCAAGTTAAATTAATCCCTTCGTCCAACAGTGTCTGCAATGTCTTCAGCTGCCATCTGCCCGCATCTGTAATAAGAACCTCTTTGTATAAAACCCCCCCGAGTAACATTATATTTGTATTCCACAAAGTATGACCAAGATCCAGCCATAGCGGTATTTTATAATCCCATTTGAGTCGGTGCTTCTTCCAAACTCTCATCAAAGAGTCTCTAAGTATATGACTTTTAAATACTTTATCAACTTTGTCATCATAAAATAAGTAAGCATGCCATCCAAATTCAAGATCAAAACTTTCTGCATTCAATATTCCAGCCTTTTTACTTCCAAACCAATCACTTGTTAAAGTTAAAGCTGCTGCATCATAATATAACTGTAGGTTTGGAAGTTTAAGACCTCCTCTTTCTGGAACATCGTGCATAATTTTCAATTTCACTCTCGGCTTTTTCTCGTTCCAGACAAACTTATTGAGTCCAGTTTGCCAGACTTTCAATTGTTTATCACTTTTAAGCACCGGAATCATTTGAAACAAAAAAAGAAATCTTGGCAAAATGTTCATCTTAACTGCTGCTATTCTTCCAAGTAGAGACAGCTGCAGTTTTTTCCAAGTCTCCATGTCTTTCTGCACCTCTCGCCACAATACCTCATAGTTATTTTGAAACAATTTCATGTTTGATTCTGCAACCTGAACTCCTAGATATTTTACCTTAGGTACAGTCTCAAAACCTGCCCTCCTTTCAAGCTCATGTTTACAATCTTGTGTCATGTTTTTAGCTATCATTTTAGTCTTTTTTGAATTCAGTCTAAAACCTGAAACTTTACCATAGTCTTGTATAATGTCCTTCATCAGGATTATTGATTCCATTGGTTGTGATAGGGTAATAACCAGATCATCTGCAAATGCCTTTATTCTGTAATCCTCTTGCCTAATCATTATACCTTTCAAGATATTAGAGTCCCGTATTGTATTTAGCAAGACTTCTAGTGTTAGAATAAATAAAAGTGGGGACAACGGACATCCCTGTCTTGTTCCTTTTTCAATTTTAAACTCTGTTGTCAAACTTCCATTAATAATAATCTGTGCCTTTTGCTCTTGGTAAATTGCTGAAATCGCCTGTATAAATTGATCCCCAAAATCCATCTTTTTTAAAGTCTTTAGTAGAAAATTCCAATCCACTCTATCAAAGGCCTTCTCTGCATCCAAAAAGACCAGCACTGCAGGAATCTGTTTATTCTTCTCAAGATATTCCAATAAATCTATTACTTGCCTTACATTATCCTTCATGTGTCTGCCCTCGATAAATCCCGCTTGATCATCATGAATCACCTTTTGGATTACTGGCATCAACCTGTTGGCTAATACTTTCGCATAGATTTTATAATCTGTATTCAGAAGAGATATTGGTCTATAGTTCTCTGGTTTTTTAGGACCGACTTGTTTAAACGTCATCTTCATCTTTCTGGAGCAAAGAGCAGAATAATCGAAGGTCATCCGAAAGCTTCGATCTTGCTCCCCCCATGGCTCCAGTCTCTTGTGCAGTACTCTTAACTGCCTTGTCTTGTCTTTCCTGTTGTTGTTGTTGCTTTTGTTTAAGTAACTTAGATTGAGCTCGAGTTATGCGTTGATCCTTAACTTCGATCATCCGAACCGGGTCCAAGATTGGAGAAGATTCCAGCAAAGGCTCATCCAGAAAACCTCCTTCTGCGCCTTGCATTTCCTCTAATTCCTGCTTAGACTGTTCTTGCAGTTCTCGTTGAGGTTGCTTCTCATCACTCTCCTTAATCTCCAAAACTGTAGATGTACGTGGGGATGATGTTCTTTCCTTAAGAATAGTAGTGTAAAAGTGCTCTGCCTTCTCCACGGTATTCAAACGATATCTTTCTCCCTTGTATCTGAAAATTATACCAGCTGGGGCGTCCCACCGAAATGGTATC